GATGAAGAGATCTTTTTCGGCGCACTCTTTTCTAGCTCTTCCAAACCCCATTTATCTTCGCAGAGAAAGCCGTCCTTTCTTGAAAAGAAATGGAGTTTGGTCATCAGTGAGCTACTTACATGTGTTGAAATGCTCTACGAGAAGACCCAGATAAATTACTCAGTTGGTTAAAAAACGTTTACCTCAAGTTCATCCGCTACAGCGTCTGTACTGTAAAATTTGTGATAAATTAACGTGTTCGACTCAGTGAACGGTCTGATATCTTCAGGAACCTGAATCATCAAACAGTGGAATAACTTGTAGTGACAGATATAAAATGATAAAATAAACGCTTACGAGTTATGTTTGTCAGTCATTAAGGAGAAATAATGGTTTACGCTTGGGACTGTGTATGTAAACAAAGGTTGAATTTACTTTGCACTTGTTTCAGTTCCTGTGTTTTTTAAAAATTGTTACAAAAATATACTTACGAAAACATTTCCTTCCTGTGAAGGTTCGGTGCTCTGATCCACGGTGATGTTTGTGTAGCTGTGTGAACTTGTTGTGACTTGCACCTTATCTTGGCCGCCGGTGCCCCTGCTGCTAGTAGAGGGCTCCCCTGCTGTTTCTTCACTGCTGCGTCTGCTTCCTGGTGCGGCCATGCTCTGTTTGCTCCCGTGTGGGGTCCCGCTGCTCGCAGTATTATCTTCCTTGCCACTCGTCCCACTGTGTCTTCGTTTAATTCCTGGCATGATTTCTTTGCTACCTCGCTTGACATCCGGATGTTCAGAGCTGAGGTCGCTATCAGCGCGCAGTCGGCCATCTTTTAAAATGTCCCCATCCTTGAAGATCTCCACTTCTGGGCCTTTTTTGTCGTCATCTTCCTGGCTCTTGTCTTGTGTCTTTTTTTCCTCTTTGCTGTCATGGTACTTTTTACAGCATTGTGCAATCTTTTTGCCGAGTTTTAACAGTAGCAAGAATGGAAGAATGAGAAAGAAAACTAAATTGAACAGAAATTCCTTGGTCTTGTTTCGTGGTTTGGTCACGTCCTTGCTATGAAAATAAAAATTAAAAACTTTTATTAACGTTTAAAACACAACCTACTTTTCTAGAGCGTCAGTTAGTGAATAACAGGCGTCCTTCCTGCTTGGTCAACCAGGAACTGCCGCGCAGAGATACGACCGCCGTTAATTTACGAAGTTTCTCCTTTCAAAAGCAGGGAGCCGATAAGGTACAATTCCAAAACAAAGTATACTGTCACAAAATTAATAAAAACAAATAATTATTGGACGTGAGAACTCGAGTTAAAAAGTAAGTGAAGTTACCCAAATCAGCATATTCTGACTATTTGGATGGAGCATAATCATACCTTTCCTTCCGAGAAAAAAAAGTTCCTCATAGGTTCTCGTGCGCACAGCCGGGAGACAAGACAATTTCCGCTCACGAGACCTCGAGATTTCTGTTACCTGTAACTACCTACCACACTACGCCGGAGAAATTTGAAAACACAGCTTTATGTCTACGGTTAGGCTTACCGTCCACACTGATCCGTCACGAAAACGGAGCTCTTCAAACCGGAGAGTTACACCTCAAATGCAAACCAGTTTCAAACCCAAAATGACCGATGTCTGTTGCGTTTTCAACTTCTCTGGCATAATGTGAACCGAAAACATCTGATGCGTTTTCACAGTGAAAACGCCATTTTCAAATTTACCCCGCGTAGTGCGTGCGCAACTTAAATACTTAGGTTTCGATTCTTGTAAGAAAATTTCTTATTGATCAACGATGATACTTACGTGACAGGATCGATTTCCTCTCCTTGTTCATTGTACTCCACCACCACAATCTGACCTGCGTTGTCTTTCTTCTCCTGCTTGCCCTTTTTAACACCGCCCATTCCGAACCGTGCTACGGCAGCCCCCTTTCTTCTAAGGCCCAAAAAGGCCTTTAATGCGCCAAGGCCCACTAGTATTCCCACAATGCTGGCGATGCCACCAGGCGTTGTCAGAAATTTAAGAACGTTGCCAATCTTCTTGAAGAAGTTTTTGACTTTGGTCCAAATATCTACAGCGCCAGTAAAGTCCAGCCCACTCTCTGACGGCTTTTCCTCATCCCAGTCTTTCTCGTCTCGATCGACGCATTTAAACCCAGCGTCATAGCACTGAGGAAGGGGGAATTACGCTATTCAGCGTTTTAAGTTACACAGCTGTGCTTATAATGTACAGATAATACAGATAATGAAAAGCACGTTGTATTACGAGACTGTTCTTGTGCTCTTCAGGGTTAATTCTAGTGAAGTATTTTTAAGTAGTTTAGCGACAATGGTACTGTAATGTAAGACCAGCTTTT